CTGGAAAGTTGATTACCACATACTTTATAACTCCTGAGGAGCTTCGTTTTGACGAGTCTACCACATTTTTCCTCTGCGACTTTTCTCGATTCCTCCGCTTTTCCACTCGGAAAAGTCCAAAAACATAGCAATTTCCCGGGGTCTTGAAAACTCAAGACCACATTTTTTATTTTTAGCTTAAGTAACTGGAAATTTTGTTGCAAATGCCGATTTAAGTTTGTCCGACAGAAATTCTTCCGACATTGACGTGTCTACCGGTTGAAACATGCCAAAATAACAGGGTATTGAAAATCAATTACCACATAAGTAATTTTTAGTAAAATTAATTGTAAATAATTAATTCAGTCAAAAAGTATTGTTGTCCGACAAATTTCAAGCCGCGTTTTTTCAGTCCGACAGCTGGACAAAACTAACACACGATAGAAGTGTTTTTTATAAGCAAAAATTGTAATGTCCGACAAAAATATATCATCAAATCGTCAGTCAGACGAAAAATGATGAAAAAAATTTCGTAAAAAATGTGCACATGTATTTATAAGTTCCAATAAGATATTTTCATATATTAAGCAAAATTCCATATAAATATACAATACAGGGTGTTTCAGAAATACCTCCCGTAAATACAGGAGGTGAGGACGACAAAAAATAAGAATTTTTTGTCATATGAACTATACATGTATCTTCTTTTCTCAAAGCTCAAGCTTACTTTGAGAAAAGTCAATTATTTTATAGTGTAATATTGTAGGAGTTTAATTTAAAGCCTTTTTCATCGAAAACCGTATTTATTAGGAAGTTCTAACAAGAGTACATTATTTTTAGAAAATAAAATTGTACAATAGAAATTGGAGCCTGACTGGTAAAAAACCTAACCTTAAAAAAATATAACTTAAATTGTAATAAGAATGTAGCATAACTAGCGCCCTCTATGAAATATACAAAAAATAATTAGACTACCCTATTTGGCACCCTTAAAAACCTCGAACTACCAAATTTCATAAAAATATTTCGCACCATTTGGAAATTTTCATAAAAATGTTATTTAAGAAATTTTATTTTGTCTCTCTGTATCTCGAAAACAAGAGGAGATAGACATAGAGTTCATAAGACAAAAAATTCTCATTTTTTGTCATACCATCACCCCCTTTATTTACGGGAGGTCTTTCTGAAACACCCTGTATATATTTTTCGTTTTATTCTTGTAATTGTAAATCTCTATATGCTCAATTTAGCCAAACAAATATGGAGAAAAGAATTAAACGATTTCAAAAAAGTATGTATGGTGTATAAAAATTATACACAAAAATTTTGGGATTTTCTTTTAGAAAAATAGGAAAATTTTTGTAAAGAAAAATAACAAACGCGAATGAAAACTTGAAAGAGAAAAAAGGATTTTTATATCAAGTATAATATTAATTTATTTAGAAATAATGCACTAAGATAGTATTAATCGCCTAAAAAATAACTATTTGTTTATAACTTTTAAATTTTTTAGCATAAAATAAGCAATATTATAATTATTTATTTGAAACAAATAATAATTTACATCATAATAATTAATAACCATTTATAAATATGAAATTTTTGGAGTGAAAAAATTAATTACGATTATTGATTTAGTGATTTTGATTTTTTAATAATTTGCGGACATTAAATCGTCGGACACTTATATCACTATTTTGAACAGTAAATTTAAAAGTGGAAAAAATGAAAATTAGATATGTGGTAATCGATTTTTCATACCCCGTGAAAATTCCGATTTCCAGCTGTCGGAGTGAAAAAACGCAGCTTGAAATTTGTCGGACAACAATACTTTTTGACTGAATTAATTATTTACAATTAATTTTACTAAAAATTACCTCCTATGTGGTAATTGATTTTCAATACCCGGTTATTTTGATATGTTTCGACCGGTAGACACGTCAATGTCGGAGGAATTTCTGTCGGACAAATTTAAATCGGCATTTGCAACAAAATTTCCAGTTACTTCAGCTAAAAATAAAAGATGTGGTCTTGACTTTTCGAGACCCCGGGAAATTGCCATATTTTTGGACTTTTCCGAGTGGAAAAGCGGAGGAATCGAGAAAAGTCGCAGAGGAAAAATGTGGTAGACTCGTCAAAACGAAGCTCCTCAGGAGTTATAAAGTATGTGGTATTCAACTTTCCAGAGGGGGCCTGTACTGTGGACTAAACGGAGACTAACATCCGTTGTCATTCGTAATCGTTCGGAACAGGATCGGGTTCTGCTTAAATTTAAACTGTTCACGGTTTATTAATATTGCTGCCGTTTCATTTATCTTCGATGAATTTAATATGTCTAGCGTCTATGATTGGCTGTTGAAGTGGCTGAATAAAGAGAAAGAGTAGAAACCGTTTTTTTTACAATTTTATAACTTTTTATTGATTGTGCCGAGAATAAAAAAAAAATTTTCAACTCAAAACATCAAAACTTGAATCTTGAGAGAAATTCGGAAATATTTCTGCTCCTTTTTTGCTGTTTTTAAAGTTTTGTGGACTATTAAGCCCACGTTTTTTTATGCGCATAGAAAAATTTTCATTCCAAGTGATATTTGAAAGCCAAAAAGCCAAAAATCTCCGTGGATATACGATTCACCCAAACATGGACTTTTTGAAACAGGTACCGTCTGGACTATTATTTCGAAGCAATTGAACGAAATTGATTTGGAAGCATAAAGATTTTTTATTTTTAAGACAAATTCACCTTATTTTTCGGACAACGGACTAATTGTTGTTAAAAACTCAAAGCACTCCTCAGTGTTAAAAGCAAAAAAAAACTCACCGAATCATCTTCCGTCATCCTGAAACTGGAGCACGCGAACAAGAACTCCATGATACCGACAGAGCCTTCGTGGGCCAAAAGGTGCAAATAGGATTTCCTGCTGTGGTCCAATACTGACAAATAGTCCGTTTCGCAGAAGGCCCTCAGGGTATCTTCCGGGATGGCCGGCAACTCCTTCTGCAGGAAGCTGTCGAAGAAGGCGCGTACCACGAAATACGTCTCCCGTATCAGGATCTCCTCGAGCAGGAACTCTTGGAATTTGTCGTGAAAGGACCTGTAGAGACCAGAGGGTTCAACTGATGTATACGGAAACGAGCTCTAATAACTTTTAATAAGTATGTCAACGGCACACGGCAGAATACAAGGATAGAAGGTCTGCCAATATTACAGGAAATAATTTCGAGGTGAAAAGAAATCAACGAACCCTTTTTTCAACTCCAGTATCAGGCATTCGGCGGCGAAGTACTCGGCGAAGGTGCGGTGGATGAAATTCGCCTCCTCGTCCACTTCCTGCACGATCCCGGCCCTCAGCACGTAGTCTTTCACGAAGGCCTTCGTGAATGGCCCCTGCTCTCTGTAACATCCGAAAAACTGGCATTCGCTCGAGTAGAATATATTCGCCAACGCTAAGACGCGGTGGAACTTGTGACACTCCTCGAATTTATCTTTCAAGGCCTGCTCCGACGGGGCGTTGCCCTCGGCCTTGCCTTTGTCGTCCACGAAAATGTCCCGTTTCTTGGCTATGAACAACTCGTAGAGCTGGATGAGGTTGATTCTCTTGGGGAGGTGGGGCTCGGCTTTGCCCGAGTACAGGAACTCTTTGCATTCTTCCCATTGGTTCGGCACGCCTTCGTCCCGTTGGTTTCTTTGTTGGAACACCTCGGCTAGCATTCTCGTTTGGAGGGGAATGCCGGCGAAAGTGTTCCCGGCATCCTCGTCGATCCACCTGAAAGATTAACAGGATGTCCGTTATCCGACCAAAAATAAGAAAAAGTTTTTATACGCTTGAAATATTTATAGAAAATCGAGCGTGGTTTCGGGGTTAACTCTATTCAGGGTGTAAATGTGTGTGTCCAAATTTCGATTTTGAAATTGAACTTGAAACTGCGAATTTGAAATACGAAATTTCGAATTAAGACGTGAAATTTCGAGTTCAAACTTCTCCACAACGATTTTAATCATAAAAAAATTAAAATAATTACACTTACGCCTCGAAATCCGAATTTAAACTTCAAATGAGATTGAACTTGAAATTTGGAATTTAAAATATGAAATTTTGAGATCAAACTTGAAATTTCGGGTTTGAAGTACAAAATTTCGAATACGAATTTGTAGTTTCGAATTTAAACTTGAAATTTTACGTTTCAAATTCATAGTTTCGTGTTTCAAACTCGAAATATCAAGGTCAATCAAATTTCAAGTTTAAACTCGAGTTTCGCATTTCAAACATGAATTTAAAGTTCATTCTAAAAATGTCAAATTTAAATTTGAGTTTTCAATTTCGTGTTCGAAATTTTAAGTATAAACTTAGTAAACCTGTACTTCGAGATTTAGAACTTGAACTTGAAATTTTGAGAATGAACTCGAAATTTCGGCTTCGAAATACGAAATTTAGAGTTCAAGCTTGAAATGTCATGTTTAAAATTAATTCAAACGAGTTCATTCTCAAAAGTTCAAATTCGAAATTTCGCAGTAGCGATATTAATCATAAAAACTAAAATAATTAGTAAATCTGTAACTCCCAATTTAGAATTTAAACTTGCAATTTAGAGATTCCACTTGATACAGAAAATTTCAAGCTCAAACTAAATTTCATGTTTTAAATTGGAAACTTCGTTTTTCAAACTCGACATTTCAAGTGCATTCTCCAAATTTCAAATCGGAAATTTCAATTTCATATTTCAAAATTTTAATCAAACTCGTCATAAAAAATATAATTATTAAACCTGTACCTTCAAATTTCGATTTTGAAATTGGACTTGAAACTACGAAATTGAAATTCGATATTTCAAATTCCAATATGAAATTTCCAGTTCAAACTTAAAATTTCTCAATACCGGTTTTCATAAAAAAATTAAAATAATTACACACACTTCGAAATCCGAATTTAAACTTGAAATTTTGAGATTGAACTTGAAATTTGGAATTTGAAATACGAAATTTTGAGATCAAACTTGAAATTTCAGGTTTGAAGTACGAAATATCGAATTCAAACTTGAAATTTTACGTTTCGAATTTGCAGTTTCGTGATTCAAATTCGATATATCAAGGTCAATCATAACTTCTATTTCAAATTCAACCTTTCAATTCCATATTTGAAAATTTAAGATCGAACTCGAAATTTTCCAATAGCGATTTTAATCTCAAAAAAATTAAAATAATTATTAACCAATATCCCGAATTTCGAATTTGAACATGAGATATCGAATTTGAAATATGAAATTTTGAATTAAAACTTGAAATTTGAGTTAAAACTTGAAATTTTATTTTTCAAATTACAAGTTTCTTGTTTTAAACTCGAAATTTCAATCTCAATCTCGTGAGGTAGCGATTTTAATCATAAAAAAATATAATTATTAAACCTGTACCTTCAAATTTCGATTTTGAAATTGAACTTGGAATTACGAATTTGAAATTTGAAAATTCGAATTCCAATATGAAATTTCGAGTTCAAACTTAAAATTTCTCCATAACGATTTTAATCATAAAAAAATTAAATTAAATAATTGCACTTACGCCTCGAAATCCGAATTTAAAATTGAAATTTTGAGATCGAACTTGAAATTTGGAATTTAAAGTACGAAATTTTGAGATCAAACTTGAAATTTCGGGTTTGAAGTACGAAATATCGAATTCAAACATGAAATTTTACGTTTCGAATTCGCAGTTTCGTGTTTCAAATACGAAATATCAAGGTCAATTTCAAATTCAACCTTTCAATTCCATATTTGAAAATTTAAGATCGAACTCGAAATTTTTCAATAGCGATTTTAATCACAAAAAAATTAAAATAATTATTAACCAATATCCCGAATTTCGAATTTGAACATGAGATATCGAATTTGAAATACGAAATTTTGAATTAACACTTGAAATTTGAGTTTTAACTTGAAATTGTAAGTTTTAAATTATAAGTTTCTTGTTTCAACCTCGAAATTTCAAGATAAAAATTGAAATTTCGGGTTTGAAGTATGAAATTTCGAATACAAATTTGAAATTTCGAATTCAAACTTGAAATTTTATGTTTCGAATCAAAACTTTTATTTCAAATTCAACATTTCAAAAAATTAAAATAATTATTAAACCAATATCCGGAAATTTCGAATTTGAATATACGATATCGAGTTTGAAATACGAAATTTTGAATTAAAACTTGATATTTTGAATTCAAACTTGAAATTTGGAATTTAAAATATGAAATTTTGAAATCGACCTTGAAATTTTATGTTTTGAATTTACTGTTTCGTGTTTCAAACTCGAAATATCAAGGTCAATCAAAACTTTTAATTCAAATTCAACTTTTCAATTCCGTATTTGCAAATTTAAGATCGAACTCGCAATTTGCCAATAGCGATTTTAATCACAAAAAAATTTAAATAATTATTAAACCAATATCCCGAATTTCGAATTTGAACACGAGATATCGAGTTTGAAATACGAAATTTTGAATTAAAACTTGAAATTTGAGTTCAAACTTGAAATTGAATGTTTCAAATTACAAAGTTTCATGTTTCAACCTCGAAATTTCAAGATAAAAATTGAAATTTCGGGTTTGAAGTATGAAATTTCGAATTCAAACTTGAAATTTTATGTTTCGAATCAAAACTTTTATTTCAAATTCAACCTTTCAAAAAATTAAAATAATTATTAAACCAATATCCGGTCGAATTTGAACATACGATATCGAGTTTGAAATACGAAATTGTGCATTAAAACTTGAAATTTCGAATTCAAACTTGAAATATTGAAAATGAACTCGAAATTTCGAGTTCGAAATACAAAATTTCGTGTTCAAGCTTGATATGTCATGTTTAAAATTCGAAGTTTCGAGTTCATTTTCAGAAGTTCAAATTTTAAATTTATTAGTAGCGATTTTAATCATAAAAAAATTAAAATAATTAGTAAATCTGTAACTCCAAATTTAGAATTTTAAAGTTACATTTTAGAGATTGCTTTTGACATTGAAACAAATTTCGAATTCATACAGAAAATTCTAGTTTCAACTCGAAATTTCATGGTTTAAATTGGAAGCTTCGTGTTTCAAACTTGAAATTTCAAGTTCATTCTCAAATTTTAAATCCATATTCCGAAATTTCAGTCTCAAACTCGAGAGGTAGTAATTTTAATCATAAAAAAATAATATAATTCTTAAACCTATACCTCCAATTTTGAAATTGAACTTGAAATTTTGAATTTAAAATACGAAATTTTGAGATCAAACTTGAAATTTCGGGTTTGAAGTACGAAATTTCGAATTCAAACTTGAAATTTTATATTTCTAATCAAAACTTTTATTTCAAATTCAACCTTTCAAAAAATTAAAATATATCCGGAAATTTCGAATTTGAACATAAGATATCGAGTTTTAAATACGAAATTTCGAATTCAAACTTGAAATTTTATATTTCTAATAAAAACTTCTATTTCAAATTCAACCTTTCAAAAAATTAAAATATATCCGGAAATTTCGAATTTGAACATAAGATATCGAGTTTTAAATACGAAATTTTGAATTCAAACTTAAAATTTGAGTTCAAACTTGAAATTTTTTGTTTCAAATTAGAAGTTTCGTTTTTCAAACTCGAAATTTCAAGTTCAAAATCTAGATTTCTCAATAGGGATTCAATCATAACCAACATTAAAATAATTTGTTAAACCTATACCTCGGAATTTCAAGTTTGAAATGCAATATTTCGAACTCAAATTTGAAATTTCGAATTGAAATTGTATGTTCGAAATTCGAAAGTTCGTGTTTCAACTCGGAATTTCAAATTCAATCTCAAAGTTTCAAGTTCAGATTCGAAATTTTACGTTTTACGTCAAAATTTGGTGCAATATGAAATAAAAAAGATGTCTTTTTACGCTTTTTGTACCCAATAGAGATTAAAAAAAAGTAATAAGCCTATACCTAGACATTTCGTCTATTAAAGCCTGAGAGTACTGTTGGCACCTCTGCTTGTCTTCTGTACCTCTCAAACGCAGTCTCTGCGTCCAATACTTGGTCAGAAAATCCACCTGATCATCTTTGGAGAACGGCTCCAGCGTAAACGCCTTTACTTCCAGCCTGTCCTCCAACGCCCTGCGCAGGTGTGGCCTGGTCGTGACGAAGATCTTCACGAAGTTCTTCTCCGCCTTCGCCTCGGCCATCATCGTCACAACCATCTCCATATAACCGGAACTAATTTCGTCCACGGCGTCCAACATCAGCACCACGTTGTTCGGTTTGAGGAAGAGCCTCCTCGTGAAGTCGCCCGTGAACTTAGTACCTTCCTGGGCGTTCAGAAGGTCAACGACGCCAATGGATTTCGCGCGCTTCTTGGCGGCGGCCTTGAACGCGCCGGATTGATTGTTGAGGTCGATCCTGACCACCCAGCGGGAGGGGTGGTTCTCTTTTATCTTCACGGCTAAGTTGGCGAGGATGGTGGTCTTGCCCATACCCGCAGAGTCCGATATCAGCACGATTCTCTCTTCGAAATCTTCAAGGTGTCGGAACCGTTCTTCCGGTATGTCTTCCTCTCCGCGTTTCAGGGTGCGGTAGATGTAGTAGTCCTCGATGGTCACGTCTGCGTGTGCTAGTTTGTAGCCTATTGTGATGGTGTCGTTCTTGGCTAGTTTTTCCAACACTTCGCTGTCAACGATACTGTCCAGGTCTTCCACAACCAACTCTTCCAAGGTCATTGGAGTGCCTGTAAGGGAGACGCGTATGAGTATTTAGTTGCTTATACAGGGTGTCCGGAAATGAAAAAATTCAGGGGATAATTCTAGACCGAAAATAAATCCTACCCCTTTCTACGGGGTGTTTTTGAATGGAGTAGCATAATTGATACCAATGAATCTACATTTCAAAAGAACACGATCTGCAAAAAATCGCCTTAGTAAAATGTTCACCCCTGAAGAGATATGGGCCATCAAAGTTTCCAAAAAAATTATGAAAATCGGCTGTAATTTGAAAACCGAACGAGGTACAAATAACAAATTTTTTACAGGTTGTTTACTAATACAGATGCGAGTTTTCAATTATTTTTCGAAAATTTTAACCCCTCGAAAGGGGTTGAAATAACCACCCCTCAAGCCATTTTTTGCCATAACTTTTATATTTCGTAAAAACTCGATATCCAAAAATACGCATTAGATAAACTGGTTCTATTTAGCTGATAACAGTGACAACTTACAGAAGAGTTAATTGTGACAACTGGCATGACAGCAGCACACTTAGTTTTTCTTTGATTGATTGCAATCATATACGGTGTGAGGTGAATGGTAATACATTTTATTTTTTTATTAATAAACGAAAAGTTTTAAAGGAAAATTGCTAGAGAGGTAAAAGTTTCTAAAAGAACCAGTTTATCTAATGCGTATTTTTGGATATCGAGTTTTTACGAAATATAAAAGTTATGGCAAAAAATGGCTTGAGGGGTGGTTATTTCAACCCCTTTCGAGGGGTTAAAATTTTCGAAAAATAGTTGAAAACTCGCATCTGTATTAGTAAACAACCTGTAAAAAATTTGTTATTTGTACCTCGTTCGGTTTTCAAATTACAGCAAATTTTCATAATTTTTTTGGAAACTTTGATGGCCCATATCTCTTCCGGGGTGAACATTTTACTAAGGCGATCTTTTGCAGATCGTGTTCTTTTGAAATGTAGATTCACTGGTATCATTTATGTTACTCCATTCAAAAACACCCTGTATAACAATTTTTCCAAAACTGATTATTTATTAACGGAGTTACAGGGTGTTAAAGTTAAATTTTATTTGCAGTTTTTTTGCAATGCCTTTTGCCATACTCATAATATTTTGTCGAAATTTCATATATGGGGGGTTTTCGGGATGAGGATTATAAATTTGCCCAACCTTGTTTCGCATTTTGTAGAGGGCGCCACATACGAGCCTTTATTTTGATTTGAATGGTTGCAACTTTTTTGTGCTACACTTTATGCGACTTTTGACCGAATATTTTTGTTCTCCTAACATTTTGACATAAAAAGGTATACTTTATTTGTTTCGATAAATCTAACCGAAATATACGAAATTTCGTCAAAATATTATGAGTGTGGCAAAAGGTATTGCAAAAAAAACTTCAAATAAAATTTAACTGTAACACCCTGTAACTCCGTTAATAATCAGTTTTGAAAAAAAATATTATAGAAAGAGGTAGTATTTATTTTCGGTCTAGAATTATCCCTTGAATTTTTTGCTCATCATTTCCGGACACCCTGTATGTGTGTAGTACTTACCCTGAAAGATAATATTCCTCTTCCTCTTTAGTGCGTTTTGAGCTTCCTCGGTAAGATCATGGAATCGTATTTCCTCCCTTATTTCTCCATAACTGTCCAAGTTCAATTCCTTCATACACCGTCCCAATTTATCTTTTTCTTCAGTGACTAGTACCAATTTCTTATACTTAGAATTCTCCAGTATCTTCACTATTTTCCTACACATTTTATGAATTACGTCGTCGTTCCTCCAGGTGGGGGCTGTTATCACTAGAACCGTATACCGGGGATGAGAAAAACCCTCAACGACCTGCTTTTGAACGCTGAGGCTGTCGTTTGGGTCCAAAAACAGCGCATTAACAGTTTTATTCTGTTGTAGCGCCCGATAGATCCTCACCGCGCTCAAGGTTATTAACTCCCGAGCAGGGATCACGTGTATGATCATTTTAGTGTTTCGTTGAATGGAAACCAAGTCGTTTTTAAAAGAAACATCGTACGTTTCGAAAGTTTTGCAGTACCTAGTAGTTCTAATATCACAGAGTATCGCTTTCGCTTCTAGTTTCGACATATATTGACCCTCCCCGTTCTTGAACCACTCCAAAATAACACCGTGGACATTTTTGAAGGTATCCTTAGTGTCGAGGTCTTGCGCTAAGCTTAAACTAGGCACCAGTTCGTCCACGACACTATCGATGGTTTCTTTGTTCATGTAGTTAGGGAAAAACTGTAAGTAGGACAAGAATTCCTTGATGTCTTCGTCTGAAAAGCACGTTTTGGTATTCGGCGTGTATTTTTGAACGCTTTGTTTTAATTCTTCCACCATACCGTCGGTGAAGGTGTAGAAAGTATTAGCGGCGCCTTTGAAATGCAACACACTTTCTTCTGTGATGGTATGCGGCGCCACCAGTCCTTCCATGTTCTTGTCGGTCTGCAAGTCGGCGTTGGTACAAATAACGATGTTCTTTAACTTAAACCTCGTTCTGATTTCTTGGAAAGAAAATAAGTACTTTGCTAGGCTAAAGGCGCTGGTGGTTGGGGACAACAGTGCGTCGTAGTTTATGATCTTCCTCTTGCCCTTGTTGTTTTCATCTTTGTGCTTGGCTTGTATCAAAACGTCGCCTTCGGGCGACTCCATTACCAAATCGTCGAACTTCCCCGCGGCTACGTTCTCCGTCGATAACAGCCAATGCTTAAATTTCTTCAGAGCGTTGAAAAGCACCAAGGTGATGACGTCGATCTGGTACAAGCTACCCTGGACCCCCGCGCTACCTCCTTTCTTGTAACGCTTCCTGTCCTTGTACAAAGAATCGCCGACTTCTTCATCGGAATCGTCTCCGTCGCTGCTCGTCCCCGATACAAAACTGTCCGCTAGGGAAGTGCTCGGTTCCCCCGCAACGCTCAACCTCTCGAAATGGTGGTCGGACAGTCGGATCACTTGTTCCCGTACTGGCACGATGCTCCCGAATGGAAACCCGGTCAATATTTGCGGATCGGGTTGGAAGACCTTAGGTTGGTCGTGCTCTCCCAAGAAGAGCACCACTGTGACGTTCCACAGCGTCGAAAGTATCGGTATCTCCTCCACCAGCACCCAGTACTGGCCTACGGCGACGTTCCTTATGTACTCGTTGTAATCGTCGGGGTCTCTAGGGGATTTATCCACGAAGCTGTCGCTGGCTATGAAGCATTTCTGGAGGGTTTCCAGTAAGGTATCCGACATTTCCCCGTGTTGGAAGAACATGAGAAAGGCGGCCCAGTACAGCCGCCTGAAAGACGCCCGCTTGTCGAAATAGAACCGTTTCCCGTCTAGTTCGGTTTCTTCCCCGAAGAGGGCGTGGAAGAAACAGTTGCCGTCCGCGTAGGTGGGACTTGGTGCCCAGGTTTTCCCCGAGTGTTTGTACTCATTGGCTGCCATAGGGTTGTGGGGATTTCAACAGTAAGGCCCTGGGAAATCGGAAAAACTAATTTGGAATCGACAAAAAAGTCACGTATTTGTTTCTTTGTAGGTCACTTACCATCTGTTGTTCGTTGAGGTGATGATCTCACTGAAAAGGGCACGAATCGGTGTCGGTATAGTTCTTGAAATCGTTCGCTTCCCCGAATTTTTGCCAGCGTTTGTAAACTTTATCGCCTTATCACTATTATCAGTTATCAAAATGTATTTTTCTATGTACACAAATAATCACATCAAATCATGCATTTATAAATTTTTTAAGGAACGAATTTATCGCATCAGTGTTATCTACAAGTATTTTTAATGTGCCAATTTAATTTATTTGTGGCGACAGATTATAATTGAGGAAAATTCTGAAAAGAAATCTTTTTTTGTCTATTATACCTACAAGTGTCTACAATAGTATTATGTACAGGGCGAATGTCAGCAAATAGGGCATTCTGATTGTGAGTAATAAAAGGCAATGTCTTCTTTCTATACGAATTTATCTACACCAGGAAAATTAGCGAAAATAAAAGAGAAACTCAAAAAAAGTCCTATCCGCGAGATTATTGTAAAATTGTCTAAAGGAACATAATACAAGACATCTCTCGTCTCGTGAGTCACTTTCTTTAGCTAACTTTTTTATTTAAACAAATAAGTGAGGAAAACAGTTTTTTCACTTTGCAGGGAAAAGCATCAATAACTATCGGATTTGTTGTTAAAATTTTATAAAACCTATGACAATTTGAGGGTTTTGTCATACTATAAAAGTGTGCCAAAAGTGGGCGCTGTAGGTGCAATAGTTTTCGCACAATTCTATTTGTTTATAGCGGAGGCTCCAAAAGTTATGAACTTTAAGCCTCTGTACAAACGTTAATTTTCAATCAAACATGATTCTGAAAGCGTCATTGTAATCTTAAAGACGCAATTAAGCGACCTATTAAAAAATATCACGGTTTTTTTGACATTAACATTCTCAAATTGTGCATTAAAAAACCGTGCGTTTTTCGCTTATAAACAATTTGAATAACATTGTTGCTATTTATGCTATCTCACCGAAAATAGATGCAATGGATAGCTGGCAAAAAAATACAGTTTTAAAATAAAAAAAGTACCCTCTACGACCGACAGGAGCCAAGATAAGATTTTTTTTTAAATCGTAGCGCAATTGTTTATAAATATTAAGACTTGAATTTTTCGCAAAATAAAGTTTACGACGTAAACTACGATTTCCCGTGAATTGCATTGAAAAATGTGGAAAATTAACGACTCACGAGCCCTTTAAAGAGAAGGTACTCGCTAAATAAACTGTCCGGCGGCCGGCGGCGGCGTGGTGGTGGGGGAAGCTCGTCCAAGCGAGTCGCGCGCGCTAGAAAAGTTAATTCCAAAGTTCAAATTGATGCGCGCTGTAAATTTTGCAATATCTCGGCTTCTATTCAACCCCAGAAAAAATGCATCTTTTATACTTAAATTTTTTTAATTTACAAAAATGTCACAAAAATTATGTTAAACGAAATATTAATTAAAATTTCAATTTCAAAATTATTTTACTATTATTAAATAAATAAATGAAGCTATCGTTCATTTAAAAAGTTATTTTTTTTACATATTAAGGCAAAGTAAACTTGTTTTGTCAATATTTTGTTAGCTATTTAATTACGTTTTAAATGTAAAATTAAAGTAAAAATGTATAAATTATTTTCAAATTATCGTATAGAGTTTTGCCGGCGATAATTTTTTTCATTTTGACATATACTTTTTGGTGAAATAAAACAGTCTGTAATCACAGTTCAAAAACATGCAAAAAAAAATAAAAAATGACTTGCAAAAATGAATTTTTTAGTAATTGTTGATATTTTGTTTAAATTTAAATAAATCAAAAACTGATTGCACCATTCAATTCTACGGAAAAAAAAAACTGTCTTATTGTGACTCATAAATTTTATTTTTGTACAGTATTGCTATAAACATATAAGTCGAATAGTGAATAAATAAAATAAATTGTTATATATGTGAATATATAACAATTTATTTTGGTCTAAACTTTCGTGGTCCTGCCACTGACTAACGATTACAAAAAATAGAAATGTACAAGATAATAGGAACTGTAAAACCATTCCAAACACTTTTAATATTAAAATATGTTGAAGTTAAGAGTTGTGTTATTTCATATTATTATTATTTCGTATTATCGATTAGTGTACTTAGTTTTTTAAAATTTTGATAAATTCATAGATATACAGTGTGTCAAAGATAAGGCTTTTAAGAGGGCTCTATAGCAAATAGGCAACCAGAAATATATTTTTATAGATTTTATTACACAAACAGTTTGCCTAAATATGAATTAATGCACAAATAACAGACTTTCCCCTATTCTAACGCATGTTTTCAATAAAATGGACTTGGTTTGAAACTCATATTACTTTTTGGTGTAAAGAAATTTGTAATTTACTATGCCGCTTGTTCAAAAGCGGCAAATTATTACAAACTTCTTTACAACAAAAAGTAATCTGTTTCAAACTAAGTAAAATTTATAGAAAATGTGCGTTTGAATGGGGGAAAGTCTGTTATTCGTGCATTGATTCATATTTAGACAAACTGTGTTTGTGTAATAAGATCTATAAAAATGTATTGATGGCTGCCTAAGAATTCGAGTTTAAGCCCCGAACAGCCATAGAACCAGTGATTTTCTTGTAACAAGAAAAATAAAATAGAAAAATATCATATATATATATCCTTGCTCTAAAAAATAAAAAAAATAAATATTTATAATTTAGAATATTTAGAATTTAAGAGTGCCAAAATAGTTTCTTAGTTTTCTGCTAGGTTCTATATTTTGGTGCGAAAAATAGGAAAAATATAAGTTATTACCCACACAGCACAATGACATTCGTAGGATGTACTGAGGATAACTTCTCAGGATGTATAGGATATCCTCGGATAGGTACACCATCACCTCAGGATGTACCAGGGATATCCAAATGGAACGTCCCGGGATTTGCTCGTAACGTCCTGAGGACATCCGCCTGACTATCTGCAGGAGATTATCAGGTTATCAGTGATCAAATGAGGACGTCCTAGGATTTACTGTGTATGTCCTCAAGACATCAGCCGGGCTATTATCAGGTTATCAGTGGATCAAATGAGGACAACGTAGGCTTTACTGTTGATGTCCTCAGGACATTAGCTGGGCTATATACAGCACATTTTTAGTACTTATTGGGCTAATAAAAAAAATTACAGGGTGGTATTAAATATTTCTATAGATCAAATACGTACCTAATTTCCAAAACATTTGCTTGCCATTTCCACTCCATCTAATATTTTTTATTAAAAAAAAATATTGACAAAAAAATGAAAAGGGAAATCTGATCATTTATCTATTCGGTTATAATACGAGATTTGATTTCTTTGAATACCACTGGAATAAAAATTAACAATACAATATTTTGGATCTGTCGATTAGATTCGTCATAAATACGTAAAGGGTAGTTTTAAAATTCTCTTTTCATGAGATTTAAAGACATTTTACATTTTTCTGCAAGAAGTATTCCATCGTTGATACACGTATGTATTTTTTAAACATTTTACTCACCCACTTACTAAAATCTGACGAGAAAATTCTGTAACATAGCCACCGGCAGATATTTTTCTGTTTAAGACAACAACTACTACAGACAAGACTACATACAAGTTTTCAGAAACATCTCCAAATTATTTAGATATACACATCAACGGTTCATATTATTCATAAAACTGGTTTGAGGCATTTTTTTAAACTGGAACAAATAAGACCTAAAGTACTTCATGAGAATAAAATATAAACTTTAATAGCACTTATTTTTAAACTGAGTTCTTGAATAAAAAAATAAAATTGAACTGAATTTTTTTATTCATTGCACATTATAAATATAAACTTAAAAAGCAAATTTCACATGTACTTATATATATATAATCAACTCTTTCTATGATACATATAACCAACTTTTTTATTACAGAATATAAACAAAGTTATATACACAACTAAGTTATTATTTGTATTATATGTATAACTATTCCTTATGTGCTGTTGATCTGGTCTCTTTTTATAGTCTCTCATTTGCATGCCGCGACATGTTTTAATGCCCTCCCCATTATCTTTTTCTGGGCAATTTTTTGTGCAATGTGCTTGTGAAATTCCAGCTGTAAATTTGTAGAAAAAGTATGTTAATAATACATTTACATTGTAGACGAGTGACAAAACAAAAATTTTCATTAAATACATTTAACGAGACTATTCTAATTTCATGAACTATGGATTATAATCTGTTGATATTAAATTTAATTCTAATATTCTAATAGATAATACGTAATTCTGCCTACGATTTATAATGTAATCCTTATAACTCACAATGTTGGTACAAATATTACAGACAGAGAACTATAATAAATTAATTAAATTTATGGGATACAATCCTTTGTCAGAACACCTATATACAACACATTCAAAACTAAAAATTATAGATTTGAACATATTATGTAGATTTGGTGATACCACTTATACACATCTATTACAAATAGTGATAAAAACTATTCTAATTTTTGAATGGTATTAGGCTCTATATAAAAAATATTTGAAAACATGTTTTTTTAATGCGTTCTTTAGGCATTATATAATTATTGCATGATACAAACAGTAAGAACAAAATTAGTTAATACTATATACGATTCTAACCTATATGTTTATTCTATGATATTAATACCTTAATACCAAAGGTAATTTAAATACTTACTTCTGCCAGCAGGTGGTTGATGCACGTCACTTAACTATTTTAACAAGCTTTAAATTTCATTTTCCACTTTTCAAATTAATAAAAACGTCATTGAGTCACGCACTTATAAAACAAAGAAACACAGAAAATGGCGAGATACGGGTCATGTCGTCAATATGTCATACTGCGCATGCACCATGCACTGTGCAAAGCCAAGAACCATCCCAGGATGGGATCACTCTAGAATTT